GCAAGCAAAAGCATGGCTTGTTCAAGAAGTTAAAGCCCCATGTGGCTGAAACAGGAAAAGACAAAGGGAGGCTGATGACAGGGTGAGGCCAGAGACCCAGAGAGAAACCAGACTAAGCAGGGCCTCATAGAGCACATTAAAAATGTGGGCGTTTATCCTAAAAGCAGCGGGGAGTGGTTGGATCTGCATTTAAAAGGATCACTTTGGCTGCAGTGTGGTAGATAGCTTATAGGGGAGCCAAGGAAAATATGCAAGAGCAGCTAGGAAACTACTGGAATAGTCAAGACAAGAGATGTTCATCGATTATTTTGAGATTACAGCAGCAGATGGAACAGCAATATACACAATAAGGAAATATCTAGAAGGTAAAATAAAGAGGATATGTTGATGAGCTAGATGTAAAGAGGAGGGAAGTAGGAGGAGTCATGAAGGCCCTTGGATCTGACATATGGATGGAGGTGTCATTCATGCAGCCAGAGAGCACTGAAGGAGCACTACTTCCTCACAAACCATCCAGGCTTTTTAAATTTTATTGTAAATAAGAATTTATAAAAAGTATTGAATTGAATGAACTCTTGATATCAGTATGACACAGACCAGAAAAAGCAAAATTCTGTTAATTGTGGTAGTTTTATAGCATTACATGTATTTCATTTTATCTACCCTATCTACTACTCAAATCATAATACATTTAATACAATTTTCCTAATTTCAATATGTTGTATTGCAGTAATTCTATTTAACTATCCTAGCCTAGCAACTTCGTAAACTTAAATTTGCATTAAATGCACTAATCGATGGGAAGAAGGGAGCGATCAAACTAATCAATTATAACCATGTGGGTCTTTATCTCAACTACTGTACCTACAGTGGAGTACTGATGGCAGCTCCTACCAGACCTCAAGAGCCAATTGTTAAATTTTCAGGAAACTTGCAAGCTAGGTGTAAGTAGCTTGAAATTGACCACAGCGGGAGGACCAGCTACAGAAACTGGAAAAAGCTAAGGAACTGGCAAACAATTCCAGTCAGAGATCCACCCAACTCCCACCCCTGACAAAGCCTACTGCTAAATATTTAGCAGTGCACCAATGTTTGTACCTTTTAGGATAATGTATTTGTGGTGGATATTCTGGGTATAGAAAATACTGTAATGAAACTAACTATAATCTCACTGATTTAAAAATGCTGCCTATTTTCTTTTCCATGTTCTTAAATATCTTTCCTTTAGGATTGTTTGAAACCTATCTAATTCTTTGCTGGATATTTTGGATGTTTCCTCAGGACTTCATTTGTGAAGATATGCCACTTTTAAACATTCTTCTAATGATTTTTACTTTTTCCTCTCCTTTAGATTGTCCAGATTAAGAAGTGCTGCTGTAAAGTGGCAAACTTTTAGTAATTGTTGAATCTGATTATAGGTGTACAGGGGACCATTGTACTGTTTTTCTCTAATTTCGTGTTTGCTTGAAATTTTTCATATTAAAAAACAAAACAGGCTGTAGCACCCACATCTTGCCAAGACCGGTCCTTACTGGGTCTTCTAGTTACAGTCTCAATCCCAGCAGGTTTTCTCAGGATTTGAGATGATGTGATCCATTGCGGCCTGCTCGCTTGGCCTCTAGGAGTTAGCTAATTCCTTGTTTTGATTATTTTGATTTCCTTGCAACACTGACTTCTTCCCTGAAAAACCCACAAAGCAGTCTGTAGAAAAATTTAAAGTGAATCTTCAGAAGGAACCATATCAGATTAGGGTACTTTCTTTGTACTACAACCACAAATATGTTGAAAAAAAAAGTTTAAAAATTTTCAGTAACAACAGAAAACCCCAAAGTACAATGAGTACATAGATTAAAAGAAACTGGAAAAAGTAAAAAAGAAAACAAAAAACTTTAATAAAAAGTAGAAAAAGGAGGCTAGAAATTAGTATCAACAATATAAGACACTGGTGGAATAGAGAAAAGTGAGGCACCAGAAGAATTACAAACTAAATCAAGTAGTCTTCAAGTTCTGTCCTAAAGAGAAGAAGGGCTTGATCTCAGGCAAGAACAAGATTTTTTTTTTCTTTTATAATGTAGAATATCATCATGGAACACATAAAAGTATGAGAAGCTGAGAAACATAAAATTCACCCAATCACAGCACATCAGTGAGAAATAAACTAGTTTAGAAATGAAACACGGGGCATCTGGGTGCCTCAGTGGGTTGAGCCTCTGCCTTCGGCTCAGGTCATTTTCTCAGGGTCCTGGGATCTAGCTCCATATGGGGCTCTCTGCTCAGCAGGGATCCTGTTTCCCCCACCTCCCGCCTGCCTCTCTGCCTGCTTGTGATCTCTCTCTCTCTTTCTCTCTGTCAAATAAATAAATAATATCTTAAAAAAAAAAAAAAAGAAATGAAACACAAAAATTAAGGAAAGGTTAACAAGTAAATTATAATTCAAGAGAAAATTATCATTATCAAAAGGAATCGTATAAATCCATTTGATGGATTAGAAAACTGAAGCTCGTGAAAGTGATTTGGTCAAGGTCACTCAGTTTAAGTGTTGGAGCCTGGATTTCAATTCCCTCTACAGCATTTTGTTTTTTCCACTCTTTTTTTGATAAAAATGCAAGTCCAAAACTAATTTTAAAATTATATGTAAATATAATTCTGGCTTAAAAATAATAATTCAAAAATATTTCTAGCTTAAACTTAAAATAGAGACTTAGCAATGATGCCCCAGTAAGTTTAATTTTCCTACTACTTCATCAATGATATTCTGTGTTCTACATAAACTGCTGTTATATGGGGAAAGATCACCTTAAAGTCCTAAAGAACATCATTTGATCTGCTATTGTAAATAAAAATTAGATTTCACTCTCTCTTCCCTTAAATATATGCTTTAAATTATATATATATAGAGAGAGAGACAAGATAATAAGGCATTTTTTAAATAAAAATATTTTTACTTATATATAGATGGCTGAAATGATCAAGCTTTGGTTTCTACTAAAGGAATCTAAGGTTTGATTCATATATTTGAAGAGTGTCTCAAAACTTGCTCAAATTCATTGGTTCTTTTTCGCAGGTGACTTTTGTCTTCTAAGTTTACTTTCCTCTGGTTAGACAGCACACTTAATCTTATCTAATACTTACTTTTTATTATGTCAAAACCTTTACCTAAAGATTTTTTTGTTCTATGAATAATTCTCCATCTTGTACCTACAATGAGCTAGTAGGTAGTCAGTATATAATTACTGATTTGAATCATGACTCCTAAATGGAATTAGGTTTAATAAATTATGATCAGATAACTATGTCACCTATGTGACATAGTTTTTCTTTTGCGGCTATATTAGGGTCTAGTGAGGAGAAATTATATCAATGATTTCAACAAATATGACTTAATTTAAAGAATTGTTAATTAGGCATTGAAGAGTGGAAAAGGCAGAAAGAGAACACTAAGGAAGTGATTTCTCCAACAATGGTCACCAGACAGGCATCATAAGCTGGAAACTTGTTAGAAATGCAAATTCTGACACCAAGCCCTAGCCCCAGTTTATGAATTAGAAACCTTGGTGATAGGCCCAACAGTCTGTGCTGTAACAAACCCTCCAGGGGATTACAGAGTATGCTAAAATTTAAAACTCATGTAGGTAACAATACCTGGAAGCAGCCCCTACTCCTAGGCCTGGCCTGGGGCAGCCACGAAAAGGGGCAGACTTACTAAAACTGAGAAGATTGGGGAAAGGCCCTGTGGAGCTGAAACTCAGACTTTCAAGAACCCATCATTGCTCTCCCAGTACTGATGTCTCTTCACTCAGAGGGGGGATCCCATAGAACTAAGAACAAGATAGCTGAGGAATAGGCACCCACAGGTTGGATCTGGTCTCAAGAAGGCACATTGAGATTGGTTCTGCAAGTGTTGGGAAATCCCCAAGTTGAAACCAGTGGCTGCTACTAGAAGAAATTACTACCATCAGATTGAAGAAGTGTTGCTAGAGCAAAACCGACAGCACCAACAAACCCTTCAGAAGCAAACGAGAGCAAATTGCTTTCCTTCTCCAGCTGTGCAATGTTTCATTAGTCCCTATATTGGCAGAGACTAACAAGCCAAAAATGTTTCTAGAATTCCAAAGTTTGATTTAAAGCTGAGAGACAGTAGTAGCTCAATAACTGGCATAAAGGCCTTACTTGTAATAAGACTGGGAGGTAATAGAAATAGTAAACTTTTTTTGGAAATATTTTTTGGTATGTATATTGGGTACACATGGATATTTTCTTAGGAGCTGACTTCTAGGTGGACTTTTGGACTTACTGTACAAAATTATTCCTATTTGAAAACTATTTGTCTCTTCTGATGAGATTAATAAGACACACTTAGGACATTTCTGGAATCTGGACAAGAAACTATGCAAGGGCCTACACTGAGGTCTCCTTAGCCAGGTCTAAAACTGAAAGATCACAGCAGTGATGGCTGAGAAATGCTCAATAGTAGCAACAAGACCTGACAAGTCAGCTCAGGCTAGGTTCATTGAAGTCTCAGTGTCAAGGGAATGGACTAAAAAGCTTACTTTCACAAGACAGAGCAATCGGGGTCCCTGCTTCAAAACAGGAGGTTGATAGAAAAGTTTTTTGAAATCGTGGTAAAGGGGAAGGGTAATACAAACATGACTCCTCATTTTAAGCAGCTGTTTTTTATAATCCCAGGAAACTAGAAAATGAATGGAAATGAATCAGCTCCTTCCTTAATCTTATAAATCAGTATTGAGGGTCCATTGTTGGTTCTACAGAAATCAATAAATCAGGGCTTTCCAAATTCTTGAAAGGTGGGCACAGATAGAGTCATTCTATATGTTAATCAAAAGGAACAATCCCAAATATTTACTGAATGATTATCAGAATTACACCCAGTATTTTGGGCGAACAGTGAGATATTCATTTTTCTTACAGACCTTCACCTATTTCTCATTTTATGTTTATGTTTTATTTTCTGGTTTTTTGTTTTTCTTTTTGTTTTCAAGGATATTGAAGAATCACAAAGTCACACCGGCGAACCTGTTGGAGATGACTACAAAAAGATGGGAACACTTTTTGGTGAATTGAACAAAAGCCTCATCGAGATGGGCTTCACAAGGATGTATTTTGGAGAACGAATTGTGGAACCAGTAATAGTCATGTTCTTTTGGATAATGCTGTGGTTCCTTGGCTTACAAGCCCTTGGACTAGTTGCTGTTGTTTGCCTTGTCATTATTTATGTGCAACAGTAAAATATGGCCAAATAAGCTGTTGTTTCACATTTGGTAGCTGTATATGTATTGGTGAAGTTATATATTTCACTACATGAAAGCTGAAAAGTTTGCCTTGTTTCAAATTATGTGCTGTTTTGTAATTAAATTTATAAGTGGAAATTGTTTAAAACTAAACTCAACTCTTGATTATCACAGGGTTGAATATACATTTGGTAGCTTATTCAAAAGTCTTGTTTTATTACTGTGATCTGTGCCCACTTTTAAAAACCCCACCTTATTCCCATTGTCGATCTTAACACACCAAAAAGTGAGCAGGGAAAATAACAGGATATGGAATTCAAACCAGGCAATATAGATCTTGTAAAGAATTCCAATAAAACATTTTAGAAGAAAAAGGATGGAACAAGGAGCTAAAACAAAGTTTTAATGGGAGAATTGTCCCCACCCATACCCACCAAATAACCCCTTACCATTTGGGAAATAATTTGGATATCTCTGTTCCTGCTCAGCCCAAACCAATATAAACGTAATTACTATACACTACCTTAATATTGTGAGGAAAATCAGTAAAGCTAGGACATTTTCTAAAGATTGAAAAGGATATATTTATTATGACTGATGAAAGTTAAATGTAACTTTTTTATCATGTAACATTTGGGTCTGGAATCACTTCAGTATATCATTTGAAATTTTAGACAATTTTGGTGCTAATTACCTTTTGTGAATTTTTTAAGACTCTTAAGCCATGCCCATTGCTGGCTGCACCCCATGGTAATGTTATGTTTTCTTGTATCTAACAAGTTGTGTATTTTTTTCCTAGAGAGACATTTTCCATGTATTTTTTTCCAGAAATTTACATTTTATAGTTCTTTTATAACAATTATTCTAAGATTTAAAAAAATCTATTTCCTATCTTGGCATGGCATTCCCCCTCCCCCCAAAAATTGATTTGTAGTATGGCTAAAATATTTTACTATGTCTTTAAGGAAAAAAAAAATCAGCTTGGTCTCTTTGATATCTGTATTGGAAATACAGTATTACAGTATAAAACCAAATGCTTAAATTTGAAATTTAACAGCCAATTTTAATAATATTCCTCTAAGGCTAAAGCCACATCAGTAACTGGCTGGTCATGTTATTAATGTGTTTTAATTCAGCACTTTGGGGTTTTATATTTGAACAAACATTTCTTTAAATACACTTTAAAAACAGAAAATGGCTTAGTGATATTTTGGATTTTGTTAAAGAACCTAAAATTTGTACACTTGCATCTCAGAGACCCTCTATACAGACAAAGGTTGGGCACTAAAGATAATTATCTAGAAATTCAAGTTAAATAAGAGGGAAATGGGACAATGGGGTATTTTTATCTTTGGCAGGGCAGTAACTAAAGTGTATAAAGTGTTTAATATTCTGCTTTGTAAAGTTTTTACCCAATCCTATTTAAAAAAATTATTCTGTAAGTTATCAATGTCTTCCATGCTGAAGCAGAAAACTGATGAAAAGTGTTCAACTTTGATTTCTAAAATCAGATAATCCTGAACAAAAATACCAATCAGAGGGCACTAAAAAGTACTGTGGATTTATATAAATACAGACCTTTTAAAGTTTGACAAAGAAAAGACTTTGTATTATATCATTGTGTTTTTATTGGGTTTGAAATATTTTTATAGAAACCTATATGAATTTGGCATAAGGGCAAGTTATTTGAAAATGTGTCTTCATTTGTGCACAGCAGAATTGTGAGGTTTTTAATAGAAGTCATGAGATTTTTGTATGTCTGCATTAAATATTAAAAAGGGCATTCTTTTCTAACGCTACCAAGAAATTTAATTTTCCTTTGGAATATAAAAAAGATACAGTATGCACAATAATAGCTCTAATTCCACCAGTGCTAATATTGAAAAAAAATTGTAAAGTAAGTTTGAATAGTAATTATTTAAAATATACGTCAATACTATGTATCTGCACACTGCTGTTGGTAGGACATATATTAAATCACGTAAAGAGATATTTTGCTGCTATTCTTACTGAATTTTTTTATTGATTAGAGCAACATACCATCAAATTGTTTGCTTTGATAGGGAAAAAACAATCTTTGCTTCTTTGATGGAAATAATATATTTTCTTTTGTGAAATGTATTAGACTGTAGATTATACTTGTACCCTGAAATGAAAAGGAACTGGTCATTTCTTTTGTTCACGGTGTAAGGAATTAAATGGAAAATGGTTCTCAATCATTTCAATCTCAGATACAAGCCAGTTTTAGACACCGTTAGTGATTATGGATAAAGACATGGAGGTTACAATACTAAGGTTATTAGATTATTAATATATACATCATTTATACCACAGCTCTCAATGCAAATGGAAAAGGTTAAAATATACAAATAAACTGGCCAGAGATGAATAAGTCAATTTTCCTTAAAGTGGAAACTCAGTGTCTTGTAGAATTCAGTCCTCTCATATCTTAAGCTGTGATATGCAAGGTATTTTCCCATTCCGGGCCACCAGTCACATCATACTTGGTCCAGTATTGTGCCAGCACCAGCTTGCACTGACCTGCAAAAACCAATTGTATACCTTTTTCCCCCCAGCCGACCTTCAGTGGCATCAGTTGGTAGCCTGAAATTGTCTATGAGGGGAGTAGTCAGACTATCAACATTGGCAAACACAGCAAATCAGGGCTCTGTTCGCCTGACAAGCCAGTTGTTAAAACAGTAGCAGCATGCCACCTATTAACCACCCTACAGGTCACAGCCCCATTTCGACTTCTGTGGATCGAAAAGGAAGCACATTGAAGCAAATCCCCATCAACCCATCCAAAACTGTATTTGGATCTTTTCCATGTGGGAATGATGAATTATGGTTGTCTTCTGACCAACACGTCCCTACATAATCTCATGTTTTGATCAGACAAAATCTCCCTGGGCTGTCACTGAGCTGCATATCCATTGATCCAGATGATCAGGAAATAAACAGTTAGAGAACTGATGGAAGGCAAATTCCAGCCTAAGTAAAGACTTGTAAAGTAAGAAGGCTCAGATGGTCAAACCTAGATATTGAGCAATTAAGGGCTGTTTGTATGGTTTGTAGATTATACTTAACAGTTATTTTACAAATGTTTACTGACTTCAGGTTATTTTAAATGTTTTTCTTGTCAATATATGGCTTCAACAGGTCAAAGAAGAGAAAACAGTAAGACTTTCATACCTGTTAATGCTTCTAGTAATAGACTTGACCAAGGATGATGTAAAAAGAACACAACCTACTTTCTCCCTACCCTACACATTGCCTCAGACAATGTGTCCACTCCACGTTTCAGTTACCATTTCATACTAACAACTCTGCAGTCCGTATCTCCAGTTCAGAGCACCGTACAGATTATAAAATCCATACATTCAGTTGCTTGCCCAACATAAGTATTTGCTTATGCCTTAGTACCTCAGGTTCGGTATATCCAAATCAAAAGGAACTCAGCATCCTTCTCCCAAACTGTTTTTTTTTTCTTCCTATGTTTCCAGTCTCAGCAAATGACAGTTGTCTCCTACACTGCCCACTTATAACCAATCACCGTGTCCTATCTTGCTTCCTAAAAAATCTTTAATCTTTATACTTCTCTTGATTCCCAGTATCACTAACTTAGTTCATACCCTATCATCTCCCTAGATAGCTATCATGGAATCCTACTTGGTCTCCCCTGCCTTCATTCTTCCCTCTACAATCAGAATAATCTTCCTAAATCATAACTCTGATCTCCTGCGCCTAAATCTTTTCAGTGGCTTCCTGTTGCCATTATGAAAAAGTGCTTGCTCCTTACTATGTTTTACAAGGCTCCTCAAGAGCTGGTTCTTGTGTACTTAATCTCTCTGCACTACGCCTGTCCCTTTTCAACACTCAGCTTTACCGAATTTGTTTTTTCAGTTCCTTGTGAGAGACATGCCTCCTCACTTCCAGAACTCTGCACATGCTTTAACTTCTCTCTTTAGGCCCTCCCCACCAAACTAACCAACACATCCACAGCTTTAAGACCTTTAGACATAAGGTCCCCCAGGAAAATTTCTCTGTTAAGTCCACTTCTGCTATTTCATGTGCTTTCAGAGAACCCTGCACTTACGCTATCAGTACTTGTCATGCTATATTGTAATAGCTTATTTGTCAGCTCCTTCCTTTTCTTAAAAAAGATTTATTCATTTATTTGAGAGAGAGCACGCATATGCACATGCACCCACTCAAGTGGGGAGGGGCAAAGGGAGAGGGAAAGAAAGAACCCCAAGCATCCTCCATGCTGAGCACAAGGCAGAGGCAGGGCTGGATCCTTCCAACCCAGGATCACTATGTTAGCCGAAACCACGGATCTACAACCCAACCTACCAAAGCCATGCAGGCAGCCCTGACACCTTCTTCCTTTAGATAAACTTCACAGGCAGAGAGCATGTCTATCTGGTTCACAAATCGCATTGTCTAACACAGTGCCTGGCACATAATAAATGCTCAAAATATTTGGCAAATTAATAAATTAACTTCATTTACTCATGTACTCCCCATAATGCATTAACAAAGATTTAGCACTGGTTGTATTTTAGGGTTCTTCCACTCCAAAAGTATGCTTATAATGCATAAAGAAAGTGAATTAATGTATATGTTATATTTATAAAGTTTATTCACTTTTGATGGAAGAATATTGCTACTATTTGCATATGCAGGATTACTATCTTACACTTGCATATTTTTAGAAGATTGTATGTATTTTCAGTGTTGTACTTGATGAAATCACTGTTTCTCCAGAAAGAATATTTTAGAATACATGTGGTCATTGATGCTACCTAAATTTCATATTTTTCCAGTATTTTTCAATAGACTTTTATCTACTAAATTTTGATTTTTTTAAAAAAAACTCAGAAGTTGTGATCAGGAATTCTCAAGTATCTAAGCTTGGGTATTTCAGGCTACAGAATAAATCCACTACTAGAATGTTCGAGTCACCCGGATCGTATATGTTAAATAACATGTATATAAAGTACTTTGTTATTTTTTCCAATAAATAATACTCTTTCAAAACCCTGCATCTTTAGTTTCTCTTCTGACTCTCTATATCATGTACCATATATCACTTAATTGCTGCCACACCAAGTTTAGAAATTGCCAAAGCAACAACATACCTGAAAGTGAACCATCCCTAATGCTGCAGCAGAAAGCTAAGTCCTGATGTGTATATGGCTTCCCAGGCGATAGAGTAGTAGGAAAACCTAACTCAAAATCAACCTCTGCATCCAAACTGTATTTCTCCTTTGTTGTCTTGACTATTGTGTAAGTTAGAATTATTGAATGAGCTCTGCAAGGACCTGCTAAGATCCAGAACTTAATCATACACATGCTTATTAAATTTGAGTTATCTTTTCAGCAGTTAACATTTTATCATTTAGCCTTCCAACAACTTAATTAGTTGGAAATTTCTTTAATAACTTTCCAGTCCACCACAGAATACAATGAATTTAATCATAAGGCCCTGCCTCTTTTAAATTGGTTTACTCCTTTTTTATAAGAAGCTAGTTGATGGTATATTTTTTAATGTGAGTTTTTTTAACAGAAGAATGAAAATTCTTTATACAATATCCTTATTTATACCATAGCTGTTTTAAGACAAAATCTTAAGAGTTATTCCTTGAGGGGAAGGGATGGGATATGTAAAAAATCCTATCAATATTTGAGTATATATGCCATTTACTGAATGCCCTTCTCTGGTCTGCTAAAATTGCTTCTGTTGTATAGTTTCTTGATTTTATATATGTAGTATCAAAAATATCTATGATTCCATCATTTGGTGTATTTTCAGCTTTAATAGGCACAGGAGTATATATATGTAAATACAACATACAAATAAAGGCTAAGAAGAAACAATCACAAAAGGAAAACACACTGCTTATTGTTGGTTTGGAAGGATTAACTTAAATAAATTGGCCTTGCATAAAACTATAAGGATGATTTTTCATATAAGGTGAAACGTTTGTTTAAAATTAGATCCGTGGCTTTCAGAGATTTTTAGTTTGGTTTGCCCTAAGTGAAATCTTACATGAATAGCCAATATTTTTCAGCAATAAAAGCAGAGCTGCTATAATTGATTTTGCTGTAGGTCCAGTTCCCTGGGAAACAGAAGAAATTAGCATGCAGGAAGTTTATTAGGGAGTGCTCTGGGATCAGCAACTGTGAAGGAAGTAAAAGAAACAGGATTAGACAAAGGGAGGCATGCAATACAGTCACAGCAAGACCTCAGCGACTCTATGGGGTGCCCTCAAACAGAGACAACCCTTAAGCATTGACCTGGGTTGGGACAGGGGAGCTCTTCAGCCAAAAGCAATTCCCAGAGAGAGCTGACAGCTGGGGCTTGTCATCTGGCAGCACTCCCAGCAGTTAACAGAGTAAATCCTTTGGCTCTGAGGAGAGGAGCTGAGCCACCCAACACAGCATCCACTATGGACTCTTGTTCTCACCTTGCCCTCCATGTTACCTGAGTCACTTCCAAAAACCCCCACTCTTTACAATACAATATGAGGATGACTAACTTAAATCACAAACTCATTGGTTTTAGTCAAGATGGATTTTTTAAAAAGTAGTGGTAGAGCCTTTCTTCTTCTATATTGCCTGCTGCTACTGTGAGATTCAGGTCTTTGGCTTTGATAACATTTTAGTTGACTAAACATTATACCCAGGATTCAGCAAAGGCTTGAAGCTACTAGGAACAGGTGAAAAAAAATGATTGACAGAAAAGCCCATTACTTAAAACTAGGAGTAGGAAATCCATGAGATTTTTGTATATGTAACCTGCTTAGACCAACTATAAGCTAATAAATCCCTGAGATAGGGTCTCGCAAGACATCAGGACAAACCATCATTAGGGTGTGTCTTAGAGGTTGGGTATGTTTAAGCCTGACATACTGAAGTCTGCTTTGTGCTTTCTGGCCTCTTTCCCAAGTTCCAAAGCAGTTTTACTTCTCAAATTTTTGGAGCACGTTTAAAGTAAAATTTTCGAAGGTAGAGCAGAACTCACTTGTAAAGAAAATGTATCTTCCCCAACCCCAACACACAATCGTGACTGATTTATGACTTGGAGATTTGGTCCTAATCATGAATTTCCTATTTAATTTTAGTACAAAAGTTTTCAGCAACTGGAATTGGTAATTCGTAGTCACTTGAAAAGAGCTTTCTCCAGTCTTGGCCCAGAATATTTTGGGGGCCCCTAAGTATAATTTTAGCTGCTATTTTTATCCCTGGAATCTTAGGAGGTGGCAAGATCAAGCAAGACAGTGGCCATAAGCCAAGTACATATTAAAACTGTAGCAGTGTTTAGGCATATTCCCCCCTTTGGTTATATGAAAATATTAGAACAATAGGCAAATCAGCTTTCAGATTAAAAGATCTCTTTATGTCAGACCTGAATTTAAGACTTGGTTCTGCTATTGACTAAGTGTACAGTTTGTGTTAAGTCTTACCCACATCTCTTTAAACTCCAAGATCCTCATCTCTAAAATGGGGGAACTGTTATGATTAATTAAATTATTGCATATCTTTTTTTGTGCCTTACACATTGCAAGCTTTCAATAAATAATGGTCCTTATTATTAAATATAAAGAACCACATGTAAGAGAGGACATTTTTCACTATCCATGGAAAGCTTGTACATTGAAAGCCATAAAAGGCCTGATCTTTTTTATTGTTGGCAAAAGACTGATAAATACAAGCAAATTCTATGCTGTGATCCCAATTCCTCATGACTGAAATCTTTTTGAGTTCTATTATTGTCAACTATTAGTGCTTCCTGAATCAAAATGATCATAAAAAGAAGGAATGAAGAACCTAAAGAGTTGATGAACAGAAATGAAATAAATGTGCTCTATGCAGCCACACCTTCTTTAATGAAATACTGTGTTTTCTTTAAACATCTACGTACTACAATGCCATGCATTTTCCGTTGCTCCTTTGCCTTAATAAACCTAGGTGCACAATTACACTCACCAGTGCATGGGCAATTCTGCTGTGCATGTGAACAATTCACAAAATGAAATCAATTCCAAAAATACTTTTCTGTTTTACTCCAATTGCATTAGGCCAAGAATATTAAGCTATGTTTATAGAATCACAAATATTATCTTGCTTTGATTTCAAAGGTAAACTTAAGACTAATTTGTTGGTCTGTTACATTATGGTATTTATCAATACACACTAGAAATGTTACCAAGATAAATATAATTATATATTAATACTCTAACAAAAAAATCCTGTACCTATTAATACACATGGATACATTCTGTGTACAGCTAGATAGAATGAGCTAGAAATACTATTAACATGTAATGCTTACAAGAATATTAATATGTTCATAGTCTTATCTTTTTAGTCTGTGAAAACATGCTAAAAGCATAGTATGATCTTAAGTAATCTTTGTTTTAACAAGTCTTCATTTATATTGTTCTATCCTCCATTCCTCTTATTTCCTTTTCTTTTTTTTTTTTTTAAGATTCATTTGCTTATTTGACAGACAGCGATCACAAGTAGACAGAGAGGCAGGCAGAGAGAGAGGCAGAGAGAAAGGGGGAAGCAGGCTCCCTGCTGAGAAGAGAGCCCGATGCGGGGCTCGATCCCAGGACCCTGGGATCATGACCTGAGCCGAAGGCAGAGGCTTTAACCCACTGAGCCACCCAGGCGCCCCTTATTTCCTTTTCTTTCAAACAATCCACCCTACCTGAAAAGTGGAAGTTTCTCAAATCAGATGTTTACAGACATGAATGTTTTATAATAAGCTATGGCATATCTTTAGTGCCATCTCCTAATGCATTTCAAAACTGGTTCTCCCACATTTTCCTTACCTGTCAATTTATGCTTTCAGATATTTTAACAAGATGCTCAGATAGAGCTGATGCTGGCCAAATACAGTTCTCCCCAGGCATTTCTCCCTTTTTCAAGTTGTAAGAAACATATCTTGAGAGCTCCTTGCCCGGCTACCCTATCATCACAATCGCTTCCTGCTGTAATGGAAATATACTGTGCTTTTCCTTCCCTCCCCCTATCACTGACACCCAAGTTTGATGGCATGGGCTTTTTTTCCACTAATGGCTTGCAAAGGCCCTAGACTAACAAAGAAGACATTATTTTTGCAATGCAGAAAGATTCAGACACAAAAAGACCTAAGCTTTCATACTTGTT